CCCTGGGGCGGGGCCAATTTTGACCCAAGGGCTCTTATTTGAACAAACTTGGTAGACATCCATTAGAACATGTTTCATCCTAAATATCTTAGCTCTAGCTCTTTGGGTTCTTTAAAAAAAGATTTTTAAGTTTTTTGCTATATTCATATAGGGAAAATCAATGACCTCCCTGGGGTGGGGCCAATTTTGACCCAAGGGCTCTTATTTGAACAAACTTGGTAGACATCCATTAGAACATGTTTCATGCTAAATATCTTAGCTCTAGCTCTTTGGGTTCTTTAAAAGAAGATTTTTAAGTTTTTACTATATGCATATAGGAAAAATCAATGACCCCCTGGGGCGGGGCCAATTTTGACCCCAGGGCTTTTATTTCAACAAACTTGGAAGACAGCAATTAGAAGATGTTTCATGCTAAATACCTTAGCTCTAGCTCTTTGGGTTCTTTAAAAGAAGATTGTGCACTGCACTTTCTCTCATTGCACTTGACCATTGAATTGAATTCCAACTACAAGTTTTCAAGTTATGCATAGGACAAAAAAGTAACAAAGGGCAATAACTGTAATAAGTCCAAATAGAGTTATGGTTCTTGTGTACTGCACTTCATCTCACTGCCCTTGACCATTGTATAAAGTTTCATTGAATTCCAACCATTAATTTTCAAGTTATGCACTGGACAATAAAAAGTAACAAAGGGCAAAAATGAGTCCAGAAAGAGTTATGATTTCTGTACACTGTGCTTCCTCTCAATATACTTGACCATTGTATGAAATAGTATTGAATTCCAACTAGTAGTTTTCAAGTTATGCTCTGGACAAGAAAAAGGCAATGGAAAAGAAACAAAGGGCAATAACTCTATAATTACTCTGGACAGAGTTATAGTTCTTATGCACTGCACTTCCTCTTCTTGTGCTTGATCATTGTATGAAGTTTTTTTGAATTCCAACCAGTATGTTTTAAGTTATGCTCTGGACAAGGAAAAGTATCAAAGGGCAATAACTCTGTAATTTGTCAAAATGGTGTAATGGTTCTTGTGCACTGCACTTCCTCTTAATGTGCTTGACAACTGTATGAAGTTGTATTGAATTCCAACCAGTAGTTTTCAAGTAATGGTCCGGACAAGAAAAAGTAACAAAGGGCGATAATTCTGTAATTAGTCAAAATGGAGCTATGGTTCTTGTGCACTGCACTTCCTCTAAATGTGCTTGACGATTGTATGAAATTATATTGAAATCCAACCATTTGTCTTCAAGTTATGCTCAAGACAAAAAAAGCAATGGAAAAGTAACAAAGGGCAATAACTCTGTAATTAGTTAAGATGAATTTATGGTTCTTGTGCACTGCACTTCCCCTTATTGTGCTTGACAATTGTATGAAGTTGTTTTGAATTCCAACCAGTAGTTTTTAAGTTATGCTCCGGACAAAAGAAAGCAATGGAAAAGTAACAAAGGGCAATAACTCTGTAGTTACTTTAGATAGAGTTATGGTTCTTGTGCACTGCACTTCCCCTTATTGTGCTTGACAATTGTATGAAGTTGTTTTGAATTCCAATCAGTAGTTTTCAAGTTATGCTCTGGACAAGAAAAAGTAACAAAGGGCAGTTACTCTGTAATTAGTCAAGATAGAGTTATGGTTCTTGTGCACTGCACTTCCTCTCAATGTGCTTGACCATTGTATGAAATTATATTGAATTCCAACCATTAGTCTTCAAGTTATGGTCCGGACAAAAGAAAGCAATGGAAAAGTAACAAAGGGCAATAACTCTGTAATTACTTTAGATAGTTATGGTTCTTGTGCACTGCACTTCCACTTATTGTGCTTGACAATTGTATGAAGTTGTTTTGAATTCCAACCAGTAGTTTTCAAGTTATGCTCCGGACAAGGAAAAGTAACAAAGGGCAATAACTCTGTAATTAGTCAAGATGGAGTTATGGTTCCTGTGCACTGCACTTCCCCTTATTGTGCTTGACCATTGTATGAAGTTATATCGACTTTTCAAGTTATGCTCCGGACAAGGAAAATGCAACGGACCGCTGGACCGACCGACAGACCACCGGGTGACTCCTATATACCCCCCCCCCCCCAAACTTCGTTTTTGGGGGTATAATTACTCTGGACAGAGTTATAGTTTTTGTGCATTGCACTTCCTCTTATTGTGCTTGATCATTGTATGAAGTTTTTTTTAATTCCAACCAGTGCGTTTTAAGTTATGCCCTGGACAAGGAAAAGTATCAAAGGGCAATAACTCTGTAATTTGTCAAAATGGTGTTATGGTTCTTGTGTACTGCACTTCCTCTTAATGTGCTTGACAACTGTATGAAGTTGTATTGAATTCCAACCAGTAGTTTTCAAGTAATGGTCCGGACAAGGAAAAGTAACAAAGGGCGATAACTCTGTAATTAGTCAAGATGGAGTTATGGTTCTTGTGCACTGCACTTCCTCTAACTGTGCTCAACCATTGTATCAAATTATATTGAATTCCAACCATTTGTCTTCATGTTATGCTCCGGACAAAAGAAAGCAATGGAAAAGTAACAAAGGGCAATAACTCTGTAATTAGTCAAAATCAAGTTATGGTTCTTGTGCACTGCACGTGCTTGACAATTGTATGAAGTTGTTTTGAGTTTTCAAGTTATGCTCTGGACAAGGAAAAGTAACAAAGGGCAGTAACTCTGTAATTAGTCAAGATGGAGTAATGGTTCTTGTGCACTGCACTTCCTCTACCTGTGCTTGAGCATTGTATGATGTTACATTGAAATCCAACCATTAGTCTTCAAGTTATGGTCCGGACAAAAGAAAGCAATGGAAAAGTAACAAAGGGCAATTTCTCTGTAATCACTTTAGATAGAGTTATGGTTCTTGTGCACTGCACTTCCCCTTATTGTGCTTGACAATTGTATGAAGTTGTTTTGAATTCCAACCAGTTTTTTTCAAGTTATGCTCCGGACAAGGAAAAGTAACAAAGGGCAATAACTCTGTAATTAGTCAAGATGGAGTTATGGTTCTTGTGCACTGCACTTCCTCTCAATGTGCTTGACCATTGTATGAAGTTATATTGACTTCCAACCATTAGTTTTCAAGTTATGCTCCAGACAAGGAAAATGCAACGGACCGCTGGATCGACCTACCGACCCCCCCCCCCCCCCCCCCAAAACTTCGTTTTTGGGGGTATAATTACCACATGGTAAACTAGGGACCATATAAATGCTTTACAAATATTCATTAATTGAACAAACATTATTTTTAACCCCGTTTCCACACCTTAATTTGATACCTTCTATTATTTGTTAATTCAACTTAATTGCCGCGCGCATGCTGTACTGCGTGACGTAAGGAAAATATCCTTCCCTGGTTGGTCGCTATTTATGTAAATACTTTAAATAGTAACACCCTAATTTTATGCACAGAATGCCCTCATGAATGATTACTCGTTACTTTACATATTAAATGTGTGATTTTCCCTCGATTTTATTTTTGTTTTGATGGAATTTTTTGGGTCGAATGCCCTTGGCTGATTTGGCAGAAATAAAAAAAAATCTGATTTTTTTAAGCTGAAAAAAACTTTTGAGTCTGGGCATTTTCGCCGGGTCGGCCGGCAAAAGCAAACAGATAACTTTTTAAGACTGGCCTAATCGCACATCTTGCAGGTGTAAACATACACCAAACTGATAAGAGTAATTTCGCTTGATTAATGGGTGAAACGTTTGATCTGGGAAGGCGTAAAAATTACACTTAGCTTGCCTTGATAACAACTAGAATTGCTTAATTGAATGTTTTCCATCACCTTCAATAAGTATCATACAATGAAGTAATTAAACATGGATGTTGTTTGTAAATGTAAGATAAGTGATCCAACAGTATTGTCCAACAACATTGACCTGGCACTCTTGAATTTGACCCTTTAGTAGGTATATTCCATAAACGTTATGATGTACTTGTAAATCGATATACATGTAAATGTGCAATTGTTAAAATGGTGTAAATCTTTGCGCAGTTGGTAAAGGGGTTTCACTCGAAGAATGTAGACGTAAAATGGTAGGTTCGAATCCTATTTCATTTTTATTTTTTATTTGATTTTAAAATTGCCATTCTCTTAAAACTATTGCAAACATTTTTGTTGTGTGTACTATCTGTGTAGTAGGTAGTATTTTTAATAAGTGCCTTTATAGCATGTATGCGCTAAAGCATATACAATTGCATAATGACACAAAAAGAACCGTTGACAGATACTCTAATGAAATAAAAAATATAATTGTGTATAGAAACACCACTTAAAAATGTATTCTTAAACCAGGTGTAGTATAACGAATTCAAATCAATTCTTGCAAATAAATTTAAAAAAATAATTTAACAACGTGGTGTTGGTAAAGAATCGAACCAGAGACCTTTAGATTGGTAGTACGACATCTATACCAATACACCACACATCACTGAGAAGTGAAGTTAGCAAATATATCGATATTTTCAATAGATACTGGTCGGTGATTATTCATATGACCTTTACGAAAGTTAATAAAGTGCCAGGTCAATATTGTTGGCCAATACATAATTCTATATAGCATATAATAAAAGTTTATGTGAAAGCCATTCAAAATTTTCCTATTATTAGCTCTGGTGGTCATTATGTGCAGCAAAGAGGAACGTGCATGCATTGCACACTACTACGGATGGTACTGATAAGTCCTGTAAAGTTTGGTTGAAATCACACCAGCAGTTGGACCTGTGAAAGCTGGACAAGCTGAATGCAGAAGGACATGCAACCGAATTGGGATAAAGGGCCATTTCTATTGTTATTTTCTTTTGTTTAATAGAGAGCCATTGGCCACTTCCTCTATTGTTCCGGAATGATCTCTATTGTTCTCTTTTGTTCTGTTTACAGTTAGATGGCTCTCTAGCCGTATTCGGTAGTGCGGACGGATGACCAGACAGACAGACGGCACAGGCAAAAACAATATGTTGGGAACATAATTATGTAGAGTAAAATTTTTATCGTCAATTTACCTTTTACTGACAGGAAGCCTGCCAGAAGAATTCAAACAACTTGATGCAACTTGTCACCACCATGAAGCACCCTCCAAGTCTACACTTCATTATATATCATCAAATCTACAACATACTTAGGAATAATTATTAAGATGAAAGTACATAACAAATCACAAAGATGACATAGCACAAGGTGACTTAAAACAATGAATTAACTTTTTTTAAATTCTTTTTCAGAAAAGTAAGGACAGTAGGGCTTTTCTTCACAAAAAGTAGGGAAAAGTAGTGAGGCCAACAAGAAAGTAGGGAAAAGTAGGGTCCACTTGACAGCCTGGACGGACTGACAGACAGACAGAGGGCAAACCTAAAGTTCCATCCGGTTAAACTGATATGGGACTAATTGCTGACACAAGCTGTGAAAAGATCCCTAAAAGTTATAGAATTCAAACCATATAAGTGTCCTTTAGCATACCAGTAGGAAACTAAAAGTAGAAGATGGACTAACCTGATGTTGACACTGTGATAGTAGTAACTGCATGTGGTGCTGGCTGCTGCATTACAGCTGAAAAATTTATCCTTAATTAAACAATATTACTTTATGATACAAAACATAGTGAGCTAATAACAAGATGGCCATGATGGCCCTGAAATCGCTCACCTGTATATAAGGCCCTGGGCCAAGGCCAATTTTGAACCAGGGGCATTTATTTGAACAAACTTGGTAGATACTCAGAAGACGATATTTCATGCTTAGTATCTAAACTCTAGCTCTTTGGGTTTTTTATATGAAGATTTTTTAAGTTTTTACTATACACATATAAGGAAAATCAATGACCTCCAGGGCAGAGCTGATTTTAACAAAAGAGCCCTTATTTGAACAAACTTGGTAGTTTTTACTATATATAATTGGAAAAACAATGACCACCTGGGGCGGAGCCTATTTTTACCCCAAGGGTTTTTATTTGAACAAACTTGGTAGACACCCATTAGAAGATGTTCCATGCTTAATATCTAAGCTATTGCTATTTTTGTTTTTTAAAAGAAGATTTTTTAAGTTTTTACTATACACAAATAAGGAAAATCAATGACCCCCTTGGGCGGGGCCAATTTTTACCCCAGGGCTTTTATTTGAACAAAACTTGGTAGACACCCACTAGAAGATGTTTCATGCTTAATGTCTAAGCTCTAGCTACCGGTATTTGGTTTCTTTAAAAGAAGATTTTTTAAGTTTTTACTATATACAAATACGGAAAATCAATGACCCCCTGCGGCGGGGCCAATTTTGACCCCAGGGCATTTATTTTAACAAACTTGGTAGACACCACTAGAAGATGTTTCATGCTTAATATCTAAGCTCTAGCTATTTTCGTTTTTAAAAAGAAATTTTTTTAGGTTTTTACTATATACAAATAAGGAAAATCAATGACCCCCTAGGACGGGGCCAATTTGACTGCAGGGTTTTTATTTGAACAAACTTGGTAGACACCCACTAGAAGATGTTTCATGCTTAATATCTTAGCTCTACTTATTTGGATTCTTTGAAAGTAGATTTTTTAAGTTTTTACTATATACAAATAAGGAAAATTAATGACCCCCCCCCCTCAGGGCAGGGCCAATTTTGACCCCAGGGCATTTATTTGAACAATCTTGGTAGACACTGACTAGATAATGTTTCATGCCAAATATTTAAGCTCTAGCTCTTTCGGTTTTCTCAAAGAAGATATTTTAAGGGTTTTTTTTTGGTTTGCAAAGCAACCAGAGTTCTGCTTGGGAACAATTTTCAAAGTTGACTACCAAAGGATCATTCCTGTGAAGTTTCGATGAAATTGGCTTAGTGGTTTATGAGGAGATGTCGTTTAAAGTAAAAGTTTACTGAAGGACGACAGACTTGGACATTGCCATAATGATCCCCGACCTATCTAATTCTTATTGTCATATTAGTGGATATAATAACAATTTCACCACAACCTATTTGTTAACCCTTTTGCTGCCAGAGGGTTATTGTTTTATTGATCACCTATTTGCCAGAGGGGTTTCTAAGAAATTACTATATTATTTATTAATATAATTATCATTATTTGTTATTAGTATTATAAAAATTATATATGTTTCCAAATCTGCTAGTATAATAATAATTATTGTCGATGGTATAATTTTCTTTATATTAATTATTATTCTTATTATTATTATTAATTTATTATCATTATTATTATTATAGAAACGGCAAAAGCCGTCCATATGGCAAATACGCTGAAAATAACAGGGACGGCATAAGCCGTCCCTATGGCAGTGAAAGGGTTAACAAAAGATAACAAAAGATTCAAACTTAAACTGCTTATTCCTAAGATGTATCTATATGTTAAATTTGAGTTGAATGTGTACAACCATTGGGGAGATAATCAACGGAAACTTAAAATTTCTGACTTTTTTTCAAAGTTCAAGACGGATAACTCTGTCAGCTATCATCAAACCATGATTAAATTCGATATTGACCAATGCATTCTTATGACATATCCATATCTTCAATTTGAGTTGAATATGTACAACTGTTGGGGAGATAATGAATGGGAACTGAAAATTTCCTTTTTTTCAAAGTTAAAGGGGCATAACTCTGCCAAAAATGATCAAACAATGACAAAATTCAAACTTGGGCTGCGCATTTTTTTGACGTATCCATATGTCAAATTTGAGTTGAATGTGTAATACCCTAGAGGAGATAATGAACGGAAACTGAAAATTTCATATTATTTTCAAAGTGAAAGGGACATAACTCTTGCCAAAAAATCATCGAACCATGACCAAATTCCAACTTGACCTGCGCATTCCTTTGACATATCCATATGTCAAATTTGAGTTGAATATGAGACACTGTTGGGGAGATAATGAACAGAAACAGTAAATTTCATATTATTTTCAAAGAGAAAGGGGCATTACTCTGCCAAAAAATCATTGAACGATGACCAAATTCGAACTTGGCCTGCGCATTCCATTGACATATCCATATGTCAAATTTGAGTTGAATGAGTAATACTGTTGGGGAGATAATAAACGGAAACTGAAAATTTCATATTTTCAAAGTGAAAGGGGCATAACTCTGCCAAAAATCATTGAACCATGACCAAATTCCAACTTGACCTGCGCATATCTTTGACGTATCCATATGTCAAGTTTGAGTTGAATGTGTTGTACCGTTGGGGAGATAATCAACAGAAACTGAAAATTCCATATTATTTTCAAAGTAAAAGGGGCATAACTCTGCTAAAAATTATCGAACCATGACAAAATTCGAACTTGACCTGTATTTTCTCATGACATATCCATATGTCAAGTTTGAGTTAATATGTTGTACCGTTGGGGAGATAATGAACGGAAACTGAAAATTTCAAAGTAAAAGGGGCATAACTCTGCAAAAAATCATCGAACCATGACCAAATTGGAACATGACCTGTATTTTGTTAAATGTGTGCAACCGTTACTAAGATAATGAACGGAAACTGATGATGACGGAATGACAGAATGACGGAATGACATAAGGACGGAAGGAAGGAATGACGGAACACGGTAACACTATATGCTCTGGCCATTATATGGCGGGGCATAAAAAAACATGGCCACTTGTCAAAATCTAGGTCAGCTGATATCAAAATTCAATTTCACATGTCAAACAGTTCACATGGTCCGAATTTTAATGGCTGTACATCAAAAGACAAGGAAGTAGGTGACTTGTCAATATCTAGCTCAGGTGATATTAAAATTTAATTTTACATCTTAAACTGTTCATTCACATGGTCCAAATTTCATGGCTGTAAATCAAAGGACAAGAAAGTAGATCAAATCATCAAAATCTAGGTCATTTGATATAAAAGTTCAATTTTTCATCTAAAACTGTGCACATGGTCCAAATTTCATCGCTGAATATCAATATTTGAAAGTAGGTCACTAGTCAAAATCTAGGTCAGCTGATATCATAATTCAATTTTACATCTTAAACTGTTCACTCAAATGGTCCAAATTTCATGGCTGTACATCAAAGGACTAGAAGGTAGGTCATATCATCAAAATCTAGGTCAGCTGATATCAAAGTCTAAAACTGTGCACTTGGGGCAAATTTCATAGCTGTACATCTTAGGACAATAAAATTGGTCACTTGTCAAGATCTAGGTTAGATGATATTAAGATTCAATTTTAGACTTCAAACTGTGCATATGGTCCAAATTACATGGCTGTACATCATAACAAGAAAGTAGGTCACTGTATCCCTTGAGCAGGGCAAAATTTTGACCCAAGGCTTCAACTCAAACAATCTTGATACAGGTCAACCAGACAAAGTGGCCAATTTTTACCCAATTTTTTCAGTTTTTATTATATACATATAAGGAAAACCTATATACATAATGAAAATCAATGACCCCTTGGGTAAGGCCAATTTTGACCCTTGGGCCACAATTTGAACAATCTTGGTAGAAGTCCAATAGACAATGCCTTATGCAAAATATCTAAGCTCAAGGCCTTGTAGATCTTTAGAAGAAGATTTTCTTAATATTTTCTTAGAATTTATTTTGATTGCCATGGCAACCAGATTCCTGCATGGAATCAAAATCTCTGAACAACTTTGGAAGCTTTTCACCCAAGAAACAATCCTGCCAAGTTTGGTTGAATTTGGACTCACCATTTTTAAGGGGAAGAAGTTCTCTGTATAATCTATAGAATACACAAAGTCACCGCATCATAGCATGCTGCGATGGCATAAAAATTAAGATTTTCCTATTCATAACCCTGTCTAGCCACACTTGTTTTGTCCAAGTATGAATCAATTCCATAAATAAATGACAAAATTAAGAAAATATAAGCAAATTCAATCATCTGACCTTCACAGTCAAGGTCATTTAAGCTCAAGGTCATATCTAAATTATTCAACATGTCTGTTTGGTCTCAAGTGTTGTTTTGTTCACATATGAATCAAATCAGCACATAAATAACAAAATTATGACAACTTGACCAAAATTCAATAATTTGACCTTGACAGTCATTTAAAGCTGAAGGTCAAGGTCAGTTTAGATAAATAAGGAACTGAGCCACAAAGAAAACATATTTATCTTACCAACAAATTTACATTTCCTGAGCAATTCCAAATGTGTCCAAAATATGTCTCCCCTATCATTGGGAATGTACCTTATAAAGTCACCATGGGACAAATCACATAATTCTGAACCCGTCATGTTAAAATTTTCAACATCAACACTTTGCAGCTTAAACTCACTCACAGCCCAATTGATCCAGTGCTTTACGTGCATCTGTGTCCATTGCATAGGATCTGAAAACAGAATTTAATATATATCTGTAAATAAATAACAAAGTTATGACAATTTAAGTAAATTTCAATAATTTTACCTTGACAGTAAAGTCAAGGTTAAATAAAGGTTCAGAAATTTTTTAACAAGAGCCACTGCCGGGCGGGGTTAACGCTCGACTTTTTACTTTTTCTAAAAGCAAACAAAGAAACGTTTGAACAAATCTTAACATTTCCTTTTTATAATTTGAATAGGCCTGTTTTGTCACACTAGTTTTGTCATAGTATTAATCCTTTCCATAAATAAATGACAATGTTAATAATACATATGTGTTTATATTTTTTGTTTGTTTGTTTTGGGTTTTACGCCACATCGACACAGTATAGGTCATATCGCGACATTCCAGCTTTACTGGTGGAGGAAGACCTCAGGTGCCCTTCCGGGAATTATTTCAGGCACGAACGGGTACCTGAGTAGAATATAAACGCTTATTTAAATTTGCCGTAGCTTTCCGCCTTGTGGCCGTCTTCAGCAGCATTTATTTTACATAACAAAACAATGGAAGTGACGTTGAATGTCATTGAGCGATGCCTGCCGTGGCATTGTTTGCCGTCTGCAGCGTTATTCTTTGGTATTAACTACATATGATCTATAGGTTCTTAATTTATTTTCCACAAATTTTCTATTGTTTTTCGGTACTGGTCATTCCCATATAGTTTTTCCAGCCCCATTATTGAGAAGTCATTAACTGTGTGGTCATTTGTGTAAAAATGCGCCGCTAACGGATCGTTGTACCTGGTCCATATTCTGGATAATTTAAGATGTCTTTGGTACAACTTATCTCCTGTTTCTCCAACATAAATACAATGTCGCAACGCTTACAATAAACTGCATACAACACATTCGTAGATTTAGACGTGATCTGATTGCATACCTTGTACGAGGCCCCGTTCACACCAATAAATGTGTCTGCTTCAATGACGTATGGACAAATTGCACATTTTTTTGATCTTTTACTTATTTATTTATTTATAATACTGCACCTTTGTTACCTTAATTTTCATTGGATAATCTTGACGTTTACATTTTTCCTATACATGGCTTTTTCTCCCATATACACGGCTTCCCTTCAAGAACCCCCCGACACACCCCCAATTTTGATTTGCCATCACCACTTAAGATACTATAAACAATATGGCGGCGCATAAAATCACTTTTTAACCCCGCTATTTAAGTTTACAGCGAGAATATCGACTATGACAGATTAATTGATCAATAATCTTTTATTTATGAAAATAAATTCATGTGAACAACTATTTGCGTTGTGTTTTCATTCATCTTTCAGCCGTGTTATTCATAGAAACGAACAATATTTTATTCTTGTTGACCAAGCGCTTGTTTGATTGAGCTTACACAGTGCAGGCGATCTTTGTCAAATTTGAAGAACAAGGTAGTTTGCCATCAACATGATTTTTTATCACCTGTTCGTGAGTGGTTTTCTCTAATCATTCTGTTAGCCTTTTCTTTGCTCAATTTCACTTTTATGAACATATTTACATTAAAATCCAGTATCAAATGCCAGTATTGACACTGAAATCTGTCAACAAATTTTACAAAATAAACTAGAACTGCCACTATCATGGCGTGAATACCCCCGCATACCACTTTGTCAGAATCAACAGTGGCCATTTAGAGCTCAAATATTCAATAAGTAAAGGTTCAATACTGAATTTACTTTACTTGTTGAACACAACAGAAATATTTTATGGAAGCCTCTTGCAAGCATGACCATTATTAAATACAAATAAAATACAGTTGAGACTGTCATAATTATGTGACTTTTCAAGGGATCTTCAGAAAAAGGTCACTTATGACAGGGAGTCTCTTATAATACAGTCTCATAGAAAATTAAAATTTAAATACCATCTATCTGTCTATATACCATTGTGACTTAACATATATACTGTATAAATGTGAGAAGGAATAATATCTAACCAATTTAAAATACACATAGGTACTTTAAATATTTGATGTAAATAAAATAAGAATCCCTGTAATGCAAATATCATCGCATGTATATCATATAAAATTTTATTTTATTTTTTGTATTAGATTTATATTGAATCATTATGGTACAAAATAAACTTGAATTTGATGCATTCAAATCCTTAAAATAAATATCATACTTTTAAAAACATATCCATATCCAAAGGTTTTTCCAGTCTAGTATCAACATTTTTCCGTATTATTCATGCAGCCATAGAAAGGTAAATAATCAAACAAGAGCGATCAGTGATCACATGTGTCGCCTCATAATGGCCAATTTCATGTTGGGACAAGTTTTGTGACAGACAGACAGACAGTGCACAACTAGACTTGGTACTGATCATTCCTGTAAAGTTTGGATGAAATTGCACCAGTAGTTTATAAGGAGTAGTGGGGACAAGCTTTTGTGTATCTGGCAACACACAGAAATAAACACCTTTTTATCAAAGGGCCATAACTCGGCCAAAAATCATTCAACCGGAAAACCCGTGCAATATGCGCAAGGACTTGAGCTACAGATCAATCCTGTAAAGTTTCATTGAAATTGCATTAGTGGTATAAGAGAAGTAGTACGGACAAACTTTAAAAATAAAAATTATTAAAGGGCCATAACTCTGACAAAAATCATTGAACCCGAAAATTCTGACAATATGCACAACTAGACTTGGTACTGATCATTCCTGTAAAGTTTGGATGAAATTGCACCAGTAGTTTATGAGGAGTAGTCCGGACAAGCTTTTGTGTATCTGGCAACACACAGAAAAAAACACCTTTTTTATCAAAGGGCCATAACTCGGCCAAAAATCATTCAACCGAAAAAAACGTGCAATATGCGCAAGGACTTGAGCTACAGATCAATCCTGTAAAGTTTCATTGAAATTGCATTAGTGGTATAAGAGAAGTAGTCCGGACAAACTTTAAAAATAAAAATTATTAAAGGGCCATAACTCTGACAAAAATCATTGAACCGGAAAATGCTGACCATATGCACAACTAGACTTGGTACTGATCATTCCTGTAAAGTTTGGATGAAATTGCACCAGTAGTTTATGAGAAGTAGTCCTGACAAGTTTTGTGACGGACAGACGGACAGACTCTACTCCGTAGAGGCGACACAAAAAATGCTGCCTAAAAAAAATCTTCCATTGGCACTCCATAATTTTTTAATCCCTGAGTTTACTCAGTTCATTATGTTCATTACACCTGTGACCTAAATTTGTTAACACACATTGATTGCATCATGCTTACCATATTTGGCATTACTACTCCAGACGCTACGTCACTTGATACCTGTATACAAGTAATCCGTGTAATTGAGGTGTGTAGAGTTTGTTTGAAGAGTATTGACTACTGGATTATAATTGGATTAATTATTTTGTCTCTCTGGGTGTTAAAACAGGTATTATTTATCTGATTAACGGACAATTAAAAGGTGTGAAAGTCGTTTAAATCAGACAAAGCAATACATTGGGACCATTAGGGTCGCTTGTCACATATGACAGGGAGTCGAATAATTCAGACCAGTTATATAGGAAAATACATTGCGTGGACTGAAACAAGGTCGGATAAGACAGGGAGTCGTTGAAATCAGGGGGTCGCTAAGGCAGTCTTGACTGTAAATTTATTAATGAAGCAAAATATAATATTCTTTTTAAAACATACATGTACATGAAATTCAACTGTTCACTGTAATAAAAACGAATCTTTTTTTTTTCATTTACTCTCTGATAAAGTAATGCAAACTAAAGTTACAATATATTTGCATAAGGCAAAAGGCATTTGTAACATCACATAAATATATGTGTACTGACAGTCTGACCATGAAATAGCATTTTTCCAGACTTGCAAAACTAGTTACGGTAAATATGTGAAAAATAAAAACAATAAAATACTGGTTAACCTCAATATAAGATGAACTTTAAAGATATACTATGCTCAAATTTGATATTAGAAAATATTGTTAATTGCTACACAGTCCCTTTGTATATATAAAATAAACATGTTTTGACTTCAAAGTAAATATGTTTAAAATTCAACACACAATTGTTAGTCACAATAAGATAATATAGTGTCGTTAAAAAAACTAGCAGTTTTTTTTAAAGAAAATACCAACTTTACTTGATCTTTAATTGGGGAGTGTAGGACAAAATATGATAACAGATGAAATAATGCATGCATGCGATACTGAATTCATAGCTTTTCATTTACACAACAAGGCTCAGAAGAGTATTAATGTTAAATCACTTTTGTAAAGGGATCAAATTAATATCCTTAGCACTATGTCACCTACATGTGATGTCCATACATATCTTTTAAACACATAAAAAACACAACTTTAATACACTATATGTAAATTTGATTGACCATGGGAGGGGAGGGGGGGGGGGGGGGGGGGGGGCTTTTGTCCTACCTTTACTATTTTATGGGGGGGGGGGGGTTTTGTCCTAGGTGTAAATTTCATGTTGATGCAAAGTTCAATCCTTAAAACTGTTCAAAAACATCAAATTTATAGGCATATGTTTATATTAAGTATGATTTATGTTCTGTGGAAATACCCCTATTAGGAAAATTCAAGTATTTTTGGTGTTTTAAACGAAAATTAAAGTATGACAGCACAGTCCAGCCCCAACAAAATCATTACACCATTGTTTTGTAATGTATCAAAGGCTTCAACTATATCAATATAAAGTTGGGGCTTGCCTGTGCTCTATTCCAAAATTAGATTTTTACCTAGTATCTTAACGTCATTTTCTGACATTTATTTCATTAAATGCAAACCATGAAGCATGTATACTGCACTCAACATTATTAATTTTTGTTCTAAGTTGTTGAAATACGATTCATAACATATATTTTAATAAATGTTTGCAGGAAAATCATTTCTAGTAAATTAAAGGCACTTTCACTAAAATGAGTATGATTAAGTTTTGGTACAAGTTCGACTGGTTTCCACTGTAACGGTTGTAAACAAAACTCA